TTGCGTAGCTCGTGGCAACCCTGACTGTCACCACCGCACCACGAGTTTTCTCCTTTCCCTCTCACGAGTTCTCGGTACCTACGAGACGTGTCCGCCGCTGGTCGTTGTTCATAATCATATCGGAGATAAATCTTTCGGATGGTGCTAAAACCGAGTTTATGGCCGCGTTGCAACGAGCTCTGAATACCTAACTAAGCCGATTTGGATCTCCGGACCGACGATAACGACACTGTCGGTAGAAAAACGTTATTTTCGGACGGAGGAATAAAGTCGTTTCGAAAGAATTTATGTGTAAAATATGCGCTCTTGTCGAAACTTTGTCGAAAGCGAGATTATTTCGAGCTAAAACAAGGACTCTCGTTATGTTCTAGCTTTATGATAAACAAATTTTATTTTCTTGTTTTAGTTCTGTATACGAAAAGGAATTTAAATAAATGTAAATATATGGTCTTAGAGTAAGATCGGTAACTCTTTAACACTATCAAGGCCACTGTGTTCCCCCATCTGATTGAATATGCTGCTCTTAGATTGAAAACGAATGCCATGCCTCAGAAACATATGAACCTGGACATGCAGCATTTTTTTTCAGTGAAATAGTCATGGAGATCGCCAATACTCACAACACAGGCACGACACCGGAAGAAGAAGAAGAAGATTTTTTTGTTTAGAATTTGCATATATTTTACTTATATATACCCTTTTTTTTTCAATAACAAGGGGCGGTCCTCTGCCTTGACATGTCTGGTCAATTTTCAGTAATCAATAACATCTATGCAATGAACTTCATCAAAATTACGTCACGCAACTAAAAGTAATATCTTCTTTAATCTAGTTATAATTAATTTTGAATCTTGATCTGCCCTAACTTAACTGAATCATATATATGCTCTTTATTTTAGTTGATGCACTTGATCTTCTAGTTTGTCCAATATTTCTTATTATAATCCTATTGATATTTCATAAATACCCAGTCATTCAAGTGTTTTATCTCTGGGATTACTTAATTGCTGCAGAAAATTTAAACCAGCTTTATACAAATTAAAGAACTATATTTTTAAATAAGATAGGATTCCCAGATTGATGTAATGATGATGGGTATAATTCTGACCATAATCCTTACATGATATTTCATCAATGCACAATCTTCAAGTGTTTTGTTTGGTTTGGTTTGGTTTTAAGATTACTTAATAGATGCAGAAGTTCAGAACTACCTCAACTAGCAATATACAAATTTAAGATTGATATTCTTAAATATGTAGTATATACATAATATACAGATGGATGCAATGATAATGGATATAATTTAAAAACATGTAACGTTTTTAGTTTGTTACATGTCTTTTTTATATATAATATATGATGTCTGGCCTATCATCACCGGATTCCGTATCGTTCAGGCCTGATAATTTATTTGGCACGCTTGGCGTAATTTTTACGTTCCCTAGTCGCCAACCCTGCTATCGTTTCACTGTTCTGTGGAGGCGCGCGCTGTCAAGATCCTTGTTATATGTCAAGGCGCCTCTCTGCGTTTTAACCTCACTTTGTTTTTGGCCGGTTGCGGCACGGTTGCAGATCCTGCTTTGAGAAATGGTGATTATTTAAATCTTGCTGTATAATTTGAATCCGCTGCTATTTCAAAGCAACAGGGTAGAGTTTTGGATTGACCCACCTTAACTCGTATTTGTATTTTGCTGACACGTCGGTGTACTTTTGCTGTTGTCCTTCAGAATGTTAAATGGAAGAAAGGACAGTTCTTTTGTTTATTATTGAGCCCTCGGAAGTGTTTCGAGGGTCTTATGGATGGATTGTGTCCAAGGTACGGGTAGTGTTCCCCTGTACCGTTATCTTATGGACGGACTGTGTCCAAGGTATGGGCAGGTGTCCCATATCTATGTATTGATTCCAAGGTTCGGGCATTATCCAAGGTCCTAGTAGTGTTCCAAGGTACGGGTAGTGTCCCCATATTGCCACAGTATTGATACAGCGTAAGCCCCATGCTGCTTCGCTCCCATATCTAAGCCTAGTCAGTAGCTACGGCTCTATTGATTCATGGTGTCCTCATTCTGGCCCCTTTTGTTGTTTTGGCCAGCAGGATCGCCGACAGACAGTACAGAGATGCGAGCCCACCTCACGCTGTTACTGTTTGAAGCAAGATTACATAAAGAACAGCTAAGTGTAGATTTAAGTTCTAGTTTTACATTTAACATCTAAAACATTTTCAGTCTTAAACAGTAACGTACATCTTAAGTAATATCGTACAGACTATGTTTAGTGGTTAGATTGTTAAGAACATTCACGTCGATTTAATATTTAAAATATGATTTAGATCTTAGGTTTCATTACATTACGTCTTGTAATGGTATTACTTTCATAGATATTTAGTACAACTCTTAACACCATTTTTTTTTACATATAACCACTATACATATATTTATTAGAATTCTACAATGTCATGTACCAGCAAAGAACATCATGAAATATAGTCATTAGTTTTAAGTAATATACAACTGTGTTTTCTTTCTCTGTACATGCCTGGCGCCCAATATTTATATTTTCGAGTTATTATTGTTAATTAGTTCTTTCCATTGAAATACCTTATCCACGACTGCTCTACCAACGAAAAGCTACCGTTCGCAGTGGTAATGTTTAAAAAAAAACGCTACAAACAAATCCATAATAATTAGTAGTGTAATAATAATTGGATATTAAGTTATGAAATGAAACCAAAAATTTGGCACATTTTACAATTTTTTAGGTCTCCAACCTCGATGCATAAGCTTTAAATGCCCCTCTTGCAAAAGTTGCAGGTCGTGGTCTTCTTAATGAGACAGAAAATAAATGCGGGCATCGTTTTCGCTTCATTAAGAATCGCTCCAAATAACTTATCTTTAGTATAATCTTGTGTATTTTTACGACTTTTCCCTCTCCAGAGGCATGTAGTCATATTAATGACCTTATACAGCAATTAGCGAACCAAATAATATGGGAAGTTAAATAATAAAACGAAACAGAATATTAATTATGCAATAAAGTTTGCTAGAATTGCTAGTATGATTTTCTTTTCCTATTGCAAAATTGTTGTTATAAAATTAAAGTAGATAATTATATTATTTGTATTATTTTATAAAGCTTTATTAATTATTAGTTGTTTACGTTTTTTTTTATATTTAACAATAAAAATGACAAAATGTCATGCTAGTAATACTCCCAATAATCCTATCCAATTTATATATTTTTATACAGGGTGTCCCAGAAATAAGTGCAAGAAACATATTTTCTCTTTATCGTTTTTCAAATAAATCCAAAATAACGGAGTGATTTTACTTAATTTCCAAAAAAATGATTTTTTGCTAAAATTTTGAGAACCACTGGATCTTTTCTGGATTTTCTTTCTTGTAAATTTAGTCTACTATTTATGTTGCCATATTATCAAGAAATTATTTTTTTTAAATAAAAACTAAAAAAATTTCCAAAAAACATTTCAAATAATTCCGAATTTTAAAAAAAAACTCATAGGCGTGTTTCTGGGGGGTTGAACTATACACTATACTACCAGTTAAAATACTTGCACTTATTTCTGGGACACCCTGTATAGATCGAATCAACTGCTTGAAGAAACACCTTGTAGGTATGTATTGATAATGATAAGTAAAATTTATGAAGTAGTATAAACTAGGTAAATAAGTGAAGGTGTTCTTATATTTTGTATTAAAAGTTTAAAAATAAAAAGTAATAACAACTTAGTAAGAATTTAATTATAAAAAAAATAAAGAATAACATTCCCAACAAGTGGTGATACGAGTCAAATAGAGAACTACAACATTTGGTGGCAGCGACTACAAGATTGGTGACGACGGTGGTCCAATCCAGGATCACGACAAATGGTTGTAACGTTGCATATGAATACTTACTTATGTACCTACGTAAAATGTGACAAATCTATCAAAATATGTAGAGCTTATGATGACAAAGTTGTTTTGGTCCTATTCTCACTGTATTCTGACAGTTTTTGGAATTGCATTTCTATCAAATTAGTCAAGGAATCGTAAATAAATAATAATAATCTTATCCCCAAGCCTCATTGTCCAATTCTTCTTTAGAGCGATTTGCTTTATTAATATTAAAAAAGTATTAAATATAAAAGAATGAACAACGAGTAGGTACATTAATATCGGTAATTATTATATGAAAAACTGGTACGATATACAATAATAAGTTTGCAATAATTTTTAAAATCTAGTATAATAATGATAAAAACGATTTTTATCCATCAGGTGAACAACACTGCAAGTTCAACAGCTATGAGCAAAATAATGATTGAGGAAGTGATATCCATAAATGCATCAACATTCTTCATCTGCTACAAATTAATAGTATTCTATTCAATTTATTATAAAATTCTTACCAGTAAGGCATCAAATATCCAGTAATAATAAGTTAATATAAATTTTAACAAAAGCTCATTTTTTATGTATTCATCATTCTGATGATGAAGATTAATATAGGCATTCTGAAACTTATAACTTAATTAACATTTTGAAAAAGGACAAAGTGTATCACTTTTGATTTGTTTCTAAAAGAAGTAAAACATGCAGTTTATTTTACGAATATAAACTAGATTGTGTGTCACGGCTATGAAGTTTTACTCCAAGCGCGCGTAAAGAAGTTTCGGTAAGTTTCACTTCAATTATTGTAAAAACTTAAGCAAAATAAAAATAAAACCATTCACCACAATACACCAAAATACCCACTTTACTTTAAAACACTAAACACGCATTTTACTAACCATGTTAACATCATCAGCAGATGATTAAAACTCAGTTTTACTCATCTGCTGATGATACTAACATGATTAGCGAAACTAAAGAGACAGAAATATGTTTTCTGTAAACTTTGGCAAAACGCGCGTCCAGTGTTTGCTGTTGTAACACCAAAGATTCCAACCCTCAACTGTAATGTAAAAACGTAAAAAAGTATAATATTAAACATTGAATATTTACCTTCCTGTCCAATCGCATTCATCCCCCATGATGGAGGCCAAACTGACACCAATCAAAAACGAGTATAGCACAAAATACATCGGTCCCTTTCCGCATTGGACCCACATAGTTCCAAAATGTTATTGTTTATCACCACTGTTTCGTTCTTAAACCGGACCCTATCCGTATTTTTTCCAAAGCAGACGTTTCTGCCGCACCATCTTCAGTGCACGGTAGCCTGAAAAGATCGCAACACGACGCGAATTTATCGATACAAACTACGGCACAAACAATACCTTAACAGACCACGGTATCGCAACGACTGACTGAGCGAGCTTTTAAAATGGACCAACGAGAGTAACAAGTGGTCGGAAGGCGCCAAAGGGGCCGAACATGACCGAAGCGAGCCGAGTAAAGTGACTAAAGTGACTTTGAATTCCCACCTTTTGCTTTGGTGCACTATATTTACATAATACAGTGCTTGGTTTATTTATACGAGCCTCAGCTTTGAAGCTTTTTGTTAAAATCAGTTAGATTCTTATTGTTTTTCTTACATTAATAATTTTTCCATATATATGCATAATTGAATTACGTTTTCCATCTTTTGATTCCCAATCTCCACCTCTCTCTATCTCCTTATCCTCCTTATCCATCTACTTCCAAACCTCTGTACAAAAAACTTCTTTATCTATACCCTCTCCGCAGCTCTTGAGAGGTCTTTTTCTTCTACCATGGGATTTCAATATAATATTTTCTTTGGGATTCGATGTTCTTCCATTCTTTGGACATGTCACATGTCCATACCATATTAACTGTTGGGTTGTAGTGTCGTTTACGATATAGTGTTTTATTTCCGTTTGGCGTCTTATAGTTTCATTAAGTATTTTACTTTTTATGGATTTTCCAGCTGGTCATCTCAAAAAGTCCATCTCCGTGGCTTTTAGCGTTCTTTCAGATTTCTCTTCCCAGAGCCATACTTCAGAGTTGTAGGTAAATTATGCTTTTTACAATGGAGTTGTAAATTCTTTTTGTTCGTTTATCGTTATACATACTCTTATCCCATAGGATTCCATTTGACATTGAAACTGCTTTTCTGTCTTGTGTGTTTCTCTCTAATATTGCCTCATCTAGTGCTTCGTCTTTGGATATTTGCATTTCGAGATATTTGGAGTGGTCAGAATTAAAATGGATCAAGTCCAATTTCCTACTATTTTAAGATAATCGTCTTTATACGTTTATAATTTTTTTTTTCAGTAGGGAAATAAATCAAGTCATACTTCACGCATTAAGCAGCTATACCCTGTTTCTGTTTGGTTTCTGAATATTCTGTTGATTTCTTTCAGAAGTGAACTGGATCAAGTCCATGAAATTTAACGCTGTTCGCGATTTTAGCACAAGAGCTAAAGTTTTGAGATATAGAATATTTTTTTGATAAAATGGATAAGAATGAAACAAAGTCTGAAACATTTGCACCAAGTGAATCAGATTTTATCAGCCATCTGAAAGGTCTGATTCTATCGATTCTGAAAGTATAATTTGATTTATAATTATTTTCACTATTACTAAATCAATAAGTTAGGCTGTTTTCTTACACATACACACGTTGTTGATCTGAACGAAATTGCACGAGAAAGAAAAATCTTGTCTTTCCATATAAATGTAACGTAACACACTCTAAAAGACAACACATGAAAGATATTCTTCCCTTTATCTCGCCTATATACCATAATTTTTATAAAAATCGAAGAAGACACTATTAATAGACAATGTGAAATCAACAAATCCCTTAATGACGAAGAAGAATGTACCGATGAACTAATTTATATCTAAAATTTCAAATATTTTCAGAGATAAAATGGTTTAAGTCCAAAAAAGTATAAACAAACATTCTTAAAAATGACCACAGTTGTATTTTAAGTTACTTTAGTTTGCAATTATACAATTTAAAATGTAATAAAGCATTGTGTCAAGTTTTCTTCTCCAGCTTATTTTATTTTAACATTAAAAAACTTTTACTCTCATTTTCTTCAAATTATCTTCTAGGACTTGATCCTATTCACTTCTGAACCCCTCATTTATAATTTATAACTATTACAATATCTGATGACTTATCCCGTTGTTAATCGTAGGTCTTGTTGTCCACCAATGCACATGTATTCCATTTTTTAATATTAAGTTCTAATTTCCATTTTTCATACTCCCCGATAAGTTATCATAAGACCCATGTATTCCAAGTCGTCTATATCTTGTGCTACAAGCGTGATCATCTGCGAACGGTAAGGTGTACACTCTAGTATCATCTACTTGTAAACCCATATTACTATATTCCCGTTTCCATGTTTTCAGTGTATTTTCCAAGTAGATCTTACAGTTTTTTCGGTACTTTCAGTACTAACTAATTTTTGTTCAATAATTGCGCATTTCATCAATCAGAAAGCAAGGGGAGGATTTCCAAAGTAAAATTGAAAGAAAATTGAGGTTTTTAATAAAAATCAAATTGTTAATTACCTAATTATTAATGGGAAAAGTAACATGAACACAAGCAAAGAAAAAATATAGATAACTTAAAATTTACATCAAACAACATAAACCAACTTGGCTAAATTTGAGAAAAAAACTTAAAATAATAAGTTAAAAATGCAAATATGTATTAAAACATAACTTAAAATATATCTAATACATTATATACAACAAAAAAATAACATATTTAAACTTCAATAATTGCTAATAAACATTAAGAAAGTTCAAAAGAAAAAAGTAAAAAAAAGTGTCAAAGGATTTTCTCACACAGCAAAAAAAAATTATTGTTAGCGAGTCCCAAAAGAACCGAGAATTAATTTCGAGGACCAGTTCTGTGATGGCCAAAAAGATCCGGAAATTCTCGGTACTTTTAAAACCGGGTCTCTGAACCCTATTTGAGACTATCAATTAGGGTATCCAGAACCGGAGAACCGCAATTTTCCGGTTTTGGCGGTACTTCCAGTACTAGCAAATTTTTGTTCCATGATTGTGCAGTTCGTCAATCCGCAAGTAAGGGATTATTTTCCAAAGTAAAACCAATAAAATGAGTTTGGAATGAAAATAATATACAATTATTAAATCAGTCATGAGAAAGTTAACATGAACTCAAATGAACACAAGTGAAGAAAAGAAAAACGAAAAAATCATAGGTAACTTAAAATTTGCGTCAAACAACTAAACCAACTGAACTAAAGTGGAAAAAAAATCAATTTCACTTTCAACTAAAAATGTAAATGCCTATCAAAACATAACATAAAAATATAACTAATACCATTTAGAAAAATAATACTAAATAATAAAATAACATATTTATAATTCAATAATTGATAATAAACATTATAGAAACTTCAAAAGAACTTCAGAAGTAATAATAGTAAGAGATAGAATCACTACTTACATATATAGAAGAGATTGATTTCGACCGTTAGAAAGTATTAATGGTCTTTCGTATGTAACAAAAAAACATTTTTTTTAAATTATTGTTACGGAGTCCCGAAACTACCGAAAGAACCGAGAATTAATAATCTAGAGTCCCGGGTCTGATGTCTCAAAAGAACCGGAAATTCCCGGTACTGTCGGTACCGGGATTTCCAGGTTCTGAACCCTATTGACAACCCCTATATGCGCAGGTTTTTGATAGGCACACAAATATGCGTAAAAATTAAGTTTTGATTAAAAATACGATGAGCGTAATATCATGCAGTCGGATCCTGTACTATAATAAAAACGCGAGTATTTGCGAAACCGTTAAAATTTTGAAACATTTTATATCCAAAAAATATTCATTTTTTAATTCTCCATCTAACAAAGGAATAAAATATATACAGGGTGATCCATTTAAAAAAAAAAACAAAGAAAAATGATTTTAATTTCAATATGGTAGATGAGTTCAGGGCTGATGTCGGCTGTGCATTGCTGACATGTTTTTACCACATGGCTGCTTAACTGTCAGTGATTATTATAGTTTTCCGCCTAGAAGGTTTCTCCTCCCTCAGCCATTCGCAGGCCATTAAATGGCAAATCTCTCTCTCTGGGACGTAAGATCAAAGTAAGACTAAAATTTATGTGCGATGGAACATATACCGTGCGGTGCATCAGAACACGGGACATAGAAAATCCCATGTTAATTTTGAAAAGGTTAAATATTATCTAACCAATTTTATGCAAAAGGTGTATTAGACTTTTTTGAAGAGGCGTTAAAGTTATACTTTTGTGTAGAATTTCATTTCATTTGGAATAGTAATTTAAAACTTATTTGCAAAAATCTATCTTCAAATTAGTAAAATTTATAATACGGCCCAGAGAAAGCTATACAATTAAAATTCCAGCGAAACTGTGATTGTGTCATTGTCAAATTCAATGTCACATTTTGTTTACAAAAATTTGAAGGTACCAAACTTTGGTACCAAAGAGAGTAATTTTGTATAAAATAATTACGAATTTTTCAACTTCTGAAAAAGTTACGATAATTAAACGGCATTTTGTTGGAAATAGTATTCCCGTTGTGTTAGATATCTTCGCAGCTTAGTCTCCGGAAAGCCTATACCGTGTAAGTCAACAGTTTAAAGAATAAACCGGAGCTTTGAAACTAAAGACACTTACCTAAAAATAATAACTAACCTTGGAAGAGTGAAGCACATGGAAGTGTGAAGACAAAAACAATCCAACAAGAAAAAATATTATTACAGTTGAGGGTTGGAACCTTTGGTGTTACACAGCAAAATAAAAACACTAAATCACCACAATACACCAAAACACATTTACTTTTACACTGGACGCGCGTTTCGCTAACCATGTTAGCATCATCAGCAGATGATTATAAACTGATTATAGATAGTAGTTTTTGTAAACTGATAAGTTTATAATCAAAAAAACTGTAAGTTTATAATCATCTGCTGATAATGCTAACATGGTTAGCGAAACGCGCGTCCAGTGTAAAAGTAAAAGTGTTTTGGTGTATTGTGGTGATTTAGTGTTTTTAAGAAAAAAATAACAATCAACTGAATATTCTTCATGTTAAAGAAGCGAAAAACATTGACACCCGTTTAATGGGGGTACAGTGGGAAAAGACTACAGGATCTTTCGCCGAACGACTTATTCCTGTAAAGCACGCCCAAAAACAGTTTTTATGTGCATATTAAATACAGAAATTTAGATGGACTGAAAACGGCACTTCTGTGGAATTGTGGAATGTTAAGATTCTCCCCTTAACAGTTTTGTAGTGTGAGGCGTGAATTTCACAATTATCTGGGGCATTGTTTGGCTGTGAATGGGGAATTATGTATAAATTTTATTAATTAGTATAATTTAAAAAGTTCCTTTAATCTATACTAATATATAAAATCCTTAAGTGACTGACATACTGATTAATCACGATCCTGCTCAAACCACTCAACGTAAGAAGCTCAATTTTGGCATACAGGTTGATTCTAGGGTGTAGAGGTTCGATAAGAAGGGATTTTTCGAAATTCCAGTTCCAAGAGGGTGAAACCACCCCTCTAACATTACAATATTTTTTATTTAAAAACGGTCAAGTTTCCGAAAAACACTTAAACACGTATATTTTATTTTGTTTTTTTACATATTTTAAGATTTTTAAAAATGTATACAGGGTGTTTCGAAAAATCTGGTCATTGATTAATTACGATCCTGCTTAAAGCGCTTGACGTAAAAAGCTGATTTTTGGAAAACAGATTGACTTTAAGGTGTAGAGGTTCGATACGAAGGGATTTTTCGAAACTCGAATTCTAGGGGGTAAAACTATCCCTCAAATATTAAAATATTTTTTATTTAAAACCGGTGAGTTTTTCGGAAAACTCTTAAACACGTATATTTTATTTTGTTGTTTTACATATTTTAAGATTTTTATAAATTTATACAGGGTGTTTTATAAAATATGACCATTAAGTAATCACGATTCTGCTTAAACTGCTTGACGTTTAAAGCTGATTTTTGTCAAACGGATTGACTGTGGGGTGTAGAGGTTCGATAAGGAGGGGTTTCTTGAATCTCAAATTCCAAGAGGGTAAAAACGCCCCTCAAATATTACAATATTTATTATTTAAAAAACGGTTAGTCTTTCGGGAAAACGCTTGGACAAGCATAATTTATTTGTTTTTTACATATTTTGAAATTTTTAAAAAAATCATACAGGTTGTTCCAAAAAATTGGCTAATTTCTTAACCACGATTCTGCTTAAACTGCTTGACGTAAAAAACTTATTTTTGGCAAACGGATTTTTCGAAAGTCAAATTCCAACGAGATGAAACTACCCCTGAATATTACCAAGTTATATAATAATATCGCCATATTGTTTTCTCTCATGCTGACATAAATGTGAGAAAATCTTATCCAGTTTGTATGTTAATGGAAATTCTTGCTTTGCTTTATCATCACCATTACAAATGATTAATTCGACGCGAACGAAGTCGCTGGTACACGCTAGTTACAAATATTTCTTTTATTTGTTAAATTATTGTGGATGTATGTGGTATGAGCGAGGCCTGCGAGTGATCGATAGTAATGAACAGCAAACAAGTCATACACCGCGAATACTATTCTCAGTTCAACTAATTCTTTTATAGATGATCATTCCAATTCAGAAAAAAATTAACCACCTTTTTCGAACTACAGATACTCTTGTAAACAAAAAAAATGTGACATCGAATTTGACAATGACAAAATCATTTTTTGCTGGTATTTTAATTCTAGCTTTCTCTGGGCCGTATAGTAACTTTAGTAATTTTTAGTAATTTGAAGCAGTGCCTTCTATTATAAGATCAGCCTACGGGCGAGATTTATGACGTCACGCTGGTTAGATATAACGGATTAATAAATATGTTGTAGAATACATGGAAAACATAATTATTCCTCAGATTTTTGGTTTGTATTTTAAAAATGATATAGTTTAAATGAAATATACATAATATACAGTTAATAACTACAACATATATACCTATTTATAGTAATAAATACTTTGGCAAATAAACTATGAACCATACAAATGCAGCAAATGTTTTACAATGTACAAATAATGTATAGGTACATAAGATAATGGGTAAAATGTAAATATATTTTTAAATTTTGGGGTTTGAAAATCGATCTAAATTAACAAAAACATTTAATATCTACTAATAGTGATGTATTATTATTTGCATTCACAAAATTTATATGTATATTTTGCAAGTATCAATGTTCGAAAAATTATATTTACAAATAATACAATATTATCTAAAAAAGGCGTCAGCGATGGCTATGAAATGAAGATTGCTGGCATTTTATATGTTAAATTATTCTAAAATTTTTGATTTTCTTGGATTTTTTAGGTTCGGAAAAACGCTGATTAAGTTTTCATTTGGGTTTTCATTATTTTTATTTGGTTTAAAAAAAACGTTTCGGCTAACTATAGCCTTCACAGTGTTGTGTCATATGAGAAAAATAGTGTCGAATATAATCCAAAAAATTACATATACAATATAATTTACACCTCATAATGTTTACTGCAATTAATAAACTAATATAAACTTATCAAAAGATGACCACATATTTTTTAAAATTATTATTCTTAACACTAAAATTATCTACATTGACTATGGAGTACGCAGTAAACATTATGTGCGTGGTGTGAATATTTTATATGCAATTTTTTGGATTATATTCGACACTATTTTTTCATATGACACAACACTGATGGAGGCTATAATGTTAGCCGAACCGTTTTTTAAACCAAATAAAAATAATGAAAAACCAAATGAAAAATCAATCAGCGTTTTTCCCGAACCTAAATTCCAAGAAAATCAAAAAATTTAGAATATTTAGAATCAAGGTTCAAGAATATCAAATTTTCCAAGATTGTAAAATTCTAGTTAATTATTTTATGTGTACAGTTATTTAAGGAATGTCATCGATGTTTATTTCCAAGCCATCTAGACGCCGATTTTTTTTTTGGATGATACAGTATAATTCTTACGTAAAATGTAAATAACATTAGACCAATTAAAACAAAGAAATATGAATTTCTTAGTATTTTTAGTAACACCTTTATTCTTAAAACTTAATTTTGTATTATGCAAATATACCAATTTTATTGTTATTTTATTCATATTGTATTCAGCCATCACTTAAATATTTGATATTAATTTGGTATTATAAATAATCAATACTATTCATTAAAATTACTGAACAAATATATGTTATGCTTAACATACATTATATATTATCAAACAAAAACACATTCTTCTTTTAAACTGTATCAGTCTTGTCTTTACAAAAATCTTTTTTAAAATTTGAACTCAAAATAATAATCTTTTTCATGATCTCTAATACACATATTCTTTACTTTTCCCTAGATCATAATACCTACTTACGTGTTTGAATCTATCGAAGCTGAACCAGCAACACTTGGAGTGGAGATTCCACAATATGAATAAAATAAACATAATTGTCCAGTTTTCATTAATACCATCATGGGAGAATATTATTTTTAAATTTATTAAAGATATTTTCAATAAAATTCTCTTGATTTATAACTCGTACCCACTTTTCTTGCTCTTCCGGACACTTTAGGCTGCCTAGTATAATAACTATCCTTAGTAACTATCCTTTCCACCAGGAACACAACAAAGATGAGGCATAGCACCAATAACACACTCCACTTAAGCTTTATTGATGAATTGTTAGAGTCTTAAAAAACACACACAAAAATCACGATAAGTAAAAAATGTATGGGCACTTTTAGGTTAAATCACTTGCACAACGTGTAATTTTTAAAATTTCTATTTTTTTATGCGAAACCGAGAGTGACCATATATCTGGTAGTAGTTTATGTCACTTCAACACCAAAATAATTAGTTTTTTGCACTACAATAATAAATAATACCAAAAATCAAAGAGTTAAAACCAAAAATCAACCGACAAAATATGAAACGGAATCTAACCCAATATCTAATTTTGGCATACAGGTTAATTCTAGGGTGTAGAGGTTCGATAAGAAGGGATTTTTCGAAAATCCAGTTCCAAGAGGGTGAAACCAGCAAGTTTAGTTTATTTGGTTTTTTACATATTAAAAGTACAACTTTAACGCTTCTTCAAAAAAGTCTAATACAATTTTTGCATAAAATCATCTGGGGAGATAATATTTGACCTTTTAAAAATTTACATGGGATTTCCTATGTCCCGCGTTCTGGATGCACCATACGGTATAGGGTATGTTTTGTGGAATTTATAACAAACATAAAAATATACAGGGTGAGTCTTAAATAAGTGCAAATATTTTCAGGGCTGTTAAATGTCGATAAAAGAAACATATTTTTTCTTTCCCGTTTTACTTCGTAATAAAAAAAGCGAGATGAATAATACTAACTACTACTATTTGAAAATTTCCAAAAACAATGATTTTTTGCTTAAATTTTGAGAACCACTGGATCTTTTCTGGGTTTCCTTTCTTATTCTTAATTTAATCTACCATCTATATGTTGCCGTATTATCAAAAAATATGTTTTTAACTAAAAACTAAAAAAAATATAATTTTGAAAAAAATCTTTTCGCGAAAAAAACCCCTCATAATCGTGTTTCAGTGATGGATCTTTAAAACTCTGTACATCTGTACATCCCTTCACAAGTTATGTAAAGTTATGTTCAAAAGTAGCATACCCACTACATATATATTTTCAATTTTTATTTTATTATTGTAAACTTGAATTATAAATCTATGTGACATTATTAAAAGAAATATTATATTTATTTAATAACATAAAAGAAAAATCACTTAAAAATAAATTTTCGTATTATCTGTTAAATTCCTTCTAATTGGACCATCCTGTATGTAATTACAAATTAACAAATTTAAATTTGAACAGTAATCTAAGCCAAATCAGGTGATTTTATTATTTTTTATTACCAGAGATTAACCACAAGCAGATTGATATAAGTAACACTTAATTACATGTGTAGACCTACCACGAATTAATATTATAATTTTTACGTGATAGCGTGTACAAAATGCTATTAATATAATCATTTACGCGATATCATTTTCTATAAAAAATCTGTAGACAAGACACTAAAGAGCATACATTGTGTTGTTCTTTGAGTGTATATTAATCCATATTAAATTAAAAAGTGAATAGCTGACAAAATGAGGGATCTAATTATTAGGGGACCTAAAAGAACCCTAGAAACACCTTCAAAGGGATTCGGGGAGTATTATTTTGAAAGAGCTGATGAACTGAATGACAAAATATGTCAGGTATGGTACTTTTTAAAGATTTATTGTTTTTATTTTGTAAAATACATAAGTAAGAAGAGCAAGCAAAGTTAAGTCTAACTTTGCTGGTTATTATTTTATATTTCAAAAATTCCTACCCATATATTCACCATATATTCTATACAAGGTGGTTCGAATTGTATTCCGGAAACTTCGGCAGCATATGCTGCAGATAAAAATAAGTAAAAAAGTTCGTATAAATGTATGTCCTAAAATGCTTAGTTTCGGAAATACAGGGTGTAGAAGTTTCATTTTTATTTCGATTTTTTCTAAATAATTTATGATTTAACGTCAATTTTCGATGAAAATTGGTGTCTGGGAGTTTTTTGACATGAGAAATTTGATTTTGATGTCAATGTGACCCTTACTTGTAGAGGGCGCCACCTACATATTTTTTAAGTTGTTTGAAGAGTAATAATTTTTCGTCCGTACCTGTATAAAACTATACATTTCCGTCATTTTTTACGTAAAAAATGTCTCTACGTAAAAATCGCTAAGAGTAATGGTTCTCGAGATATTTAGAATCGAATTTATCAGTACTTGTCATCATTGACATAAATTAAACATGTTGACTAAATAGTTATTAGACTGAAATCATAAATTTGAAATGTTTTTGTTCCAAAAGTTCAACAGAAACTGTTTTATCATCATTTTTTCGCAGGAAAGTTTATGATTAATTTAAAAAAATAAAAATTTCCCAAATTAATTATTTGAGTCAAGTAACTATCTACTCAACGTGTTTATTTTTTGTCAATAATGACATGTATTGACTATTTTCATTCTAAATATCTTGAGAACGGTTGCTCGTAGCGATTTTTACCAAGAGACATTTTTTACAAAAACGGAATCATCACGGAAATGTATATTTTTTACTGCATAGTTTTATACAGGTACGGACGAAAAGTTATTACTCTTCAAAACAGTTAAAACACATGTAGGTGGCGCCCTCTACAAGTAGGAGTCATATAATGACATCAAAATCAAATTTCTCATGTCAAAAAACTCCATTTTCCAACCAAATATTGACGTTACTTCAGAAATTATTTGGAAAAAATCGAAATTAAAATGAAACTTCTACACCCAGTACTCCGAAACTAAGCATTTTAGGACATACATTTATACGAACTTTTTTACTTATTTTTATTTGCATAATGTGCTGCCGAAGTTTCCGGAATACAGTTCGGACCATCCTGTATACAGGGTGTTTCAAAAAACATGTGCCATCTCTTGTGGGGAGATTCCTCACGCAAAAATAAGATTTATTTTTCATATCAACATAGGTCCGATTCTGCTTTGTTTCGTACCTACAGGGTGTTAAAGTCTTAATAATCTTTCGATTTATTATGATTTTCTTCCAAGTACTTTTAGTGATTCGAATGAAATTTGGAGGGTAAAAGTTATACATATTTTAATGCTAAAAAGTATCGATAAATTCATCAGGAACGTACATAATATGGGTTATCATTGGAATATATTTAAATAAAAACATATGTTAAATGTTAATTAAAAGTTATCTCTTTTGATATATTTTGTCGAATTCGGCCTTCTTGATTAGATAAACGCATGCAATTTTATTAATCACAATTAATAAAATTAAAATGAATCAATTACATATTTTATCTAATTTATTTAAAAATTATACTATTATTTATTATTATTATTAGTCCAACCTACAGCAGTTTGAAATAAAAAAATAATGGTATTTAAGATAATTACAAAAAAACTAATTTTAAAAAGTTTTAACATCCTGTAATTCCAAAAATTTGTTTTTTCATACCCATGTTTGAAGAACTTTTTTTCATATATTTTGATGAGGAATCAATGAGTACTTATTTAAAACTTTCGCATGTTAATGATATTAAATTTTTTTAAAGGTTTCTATTCAAGAACAGTTAACCTAATAGGACTGCTCATTCAGCCAAAAGTGTCTGCCAGGTGCATGCGAAAATTCCTCGCTTTGTGATGTCATTGAAGTCCTTGTCATGGTTATTAGTCCTTATCCGGCAACCAATAATACACACACGTGCATTATTGGTTACCGGATGCAAAACGTTCATTATTTAGTTTATTTTGACTTTATTTATTTAAACACCTTACTTATATG